ACAGTTCCGATGGGAGTCAGAGGAGAAGTAATGCTAACGCGGTTCCTTCTCTGGCTTTTGATACAAAAGGAAAAATGAAAAATAAAATAAAAAAGGGTAAAACAGTTATAAAATGTTAATAAAAACAATCGTAACTGTGAACAGTAACAACAAACAATATGAATAAAAAATAAACATCCTAATTCCAACAATCGTTACTATGTACTGGTAATGCTAACAGACCGGTGGGCACAACGGGCATGTGAGGTGCTGTAAACTTATTATGTTTAGAAAACTAAAATGACTATAATAGTAATGGAGTACGAATATTTTTGGTAAACAACTGGTTATACCAAAACYATTGCTGTTATTAATTATAATCATAATTATTATTGTAAAGACTAACGAGTATTTAAACTTGATACAACAATAGTAATAATAATATGTTGTTCGAACGAGTATTACACACACACTGCACACACCATAACAGACGACTATTGCGTCGCCAAATATTCAATTAAACGTTAAACTGTAATAATTATTTAGCTTCGCAGTATGYGCACGGCGGCACAGGCCGTGTAGATTTTCCCACTCTGCGCACATCACGATCTCACCACAAAGTGTCATTTCAAAAATAATCATTTCGCGCCAAAACCATTACGACGGCACGTATCCGTGATCCCGACGGACCAATAATATAAACAATTTCCTAAGCCGTCGTAATACTTGTGCTACGATGTTATTAGATGGCGGATATTGTGAATGTATGCAATATGAATGTGCACCATTATGCATGTACCCGTTGTAGGTCAACTTAGACCGTATCTGTWTATAKTAGAGCAATATGTGCTAACCTGGTTAATGCTTTGCAYAATTGCAAATCAACGAAAWATAACAAACCGGTAATTAGTACTTACCTATAACCTATGACCTTGTTTTTGTATCAGACACATATCGTTGTAATACAAATTATTTGATATTGGTCTGTTATCACCACGCCTTAATAAGGTAGGTATATTATATTGTTCATATACAATATAATATAGTCAATTTTATATTATTGAAAACTTTAAAAATTAMAAAAACGACAATGATCAAATATTTCATTTAGGATTAATTAATATGGTATCGCAACGGAGGAAAAATAAAGAAATATCTGATAAAACATATTCAAAAGGACCCTTTTCACTAAGCCACTAGTCACCACACAAACTCTGCCAAATATAATTCAAGAAAATTTCAAGCAATATTCAAATACCGCGACGTAATTAGGTGTTATTCATTTTGAAAATCACAAATTCTCTCCAAGTTTTGAGATTGAGCTCCAGAAATTGGGTCAAAAAAGTTGTATTTATGTTTAAGTTGATTGACCATGTTGATGATAACCTATCTCTTTAATATTATTATAAAATGTCCAGCAGTCTAAAATATTGTTCATCTCAATCGCGATATGGCGATGACGGAAAAGTACCAATTATATTTTATTGAAACATGTAAGGTATTGTAAAGGCAAATTATTGACTACCAGAATACGATAATGTATTTTAATCTGGGATTGAGTTATTATTATGCATTTAGCATAGCAAAATAATAACAAAATTTTATATTATAATATGTTCAAAAGTAACAATCTGCATGTGAATACTATTGTAATATTGAATTATTTTTATTAAGTTTTTGTGGTTTTTGAAGTTTTAGAGTATTGTCTGTCGTTACTCGTCGTAGTAATATTTTGTTTTAAGTATTTCAAAGAATATGACAAAACATATATTTTTTAAATTTCGTTTCAGATTAAAATAATTTATTTCACAATTCAAACATGACTTTTTTAATTCAACATGGGTCAACCAATTATCTTTGACAAATATAACCAAGTTATTACAATACTAAAAACTAAAACTAAATGTATTTCTTGGGGATTATTTGGATTCTTTAGGTTATAAATTCATATTTTTATGGAATAAAAATATCTCAAAATATTGAAATCCCTAGTCATACTCATAACATACCTATACGTTTGATAAATGCAGAATGGTTGAATTGAAATGTCTGTCGATTGGTAAGAAATAGGATTTGGAATCAATTTGAAGTAAATTTATTAGAAAAAAATCATTTTGAATACAAAATAATTTTTTTTTTTTCATTCACTTATATAATAACGTCAAGTGTTAAAAACAATTCTCAAAAATATATTTCGATAAACAATTCGCTTATATATATACTTATATATACAATTAACTGATCGCTCGAGTAAAATATTTTTCTAGTCGAATTCCAACGCAATGAAATATACTTTAGTCAATCGTATACAGTTTTGTCCATATCTCTTTCAACTCAAACATTGCGAGAATAACACTGTCTCTCGATATTATCACATTTTTATTTGATTGGAAATACCCACAATTTTTTTAATTAATAATTTTTGTTTCCGTTAAAATGCGTATTTTGATGATTTCTTGTGGAGAATCACAGAATTCAACACACCGTTAAACTCTGAATTATATATCTCATTTGATCTTCTTTTCCAAGTCCAAATATTAGTCGTAATGTGTACGTAATCAATCTTTTACATACACATACATCGATTACCGGGTTTACAATGTTAATTGAAAACAATTAATTAAAATCGAAAATCCTCATCGTTATTTATTTAATTGGAAGTATCTTACCACAACGTATTGTTGTACTAAAATTCACTACATATTGAGTATTATATTCTTATTTCATTAATTTTTTTTTTTTTTTGTTAACGATATTAACGATATTTTTTTTTAAATTATACTCGCACGGCATAGGTCTATCTAATATAATATTTTCTGGACGTGAAATGTTTTTATAAGATTAACAACATTTAGATTTACGATTCAAACTATTATAAATTGTGATATTATGCATGCATGAAGGTAGTATAAATTGTACGAAACCTTTATCGAGGCCGCACTTAATGAGTAAATTAATAATTTATGGACCGGAATATATAATATAATTATTATTTATACACTCGTATTGTTACGCCCGTGTAGATTTAATTCCATAGCGAAATCTGTTAACCAGGGATTTTGATTACTTTCTAATAAGTATAGGTAATATTAACACTGACGCAATGCCTCTTCAACAGTAATAAAAAGTATTTAAAAAATTTAATGTTTATATTATTATAGTTATTTGACAATTAATTCGTTAATTTTAATGTGTAATGTAATCGGTTAATATTTTTAATTTAAYCAAACCTCTGCAAATATCCAAAATTAATTGACGGCGCTCACTCATCGTACTTATTATAAATATATTCATAAATTTAACATTGTTCAAATGTAATCTTAATGAGATCATATATTTTATTTTAGCACATACTACTTTTATGTAAATTTAATGAAACGTACAGATTTATTATTCTTGTGAATCATAAACGAAAAACTATATTGCTGGTCGCTACCTGAACTGATCGAACAAAATAATTATAATTTTGTTTACGTGTTTTTCGTTATGTAACTGTAAGGCAGGTATAAAAGTGTAATCCCTTCATTTTAGCTCAATATTTTCCGCAAGTGAAAATTATGGTTGACTAATAATTTTTTATCACAAACAAAATAATTTAAACATAATAAATTCAATAATCGATCAAAATATTAATAGCTTTTAAACTAGGTAACGCATACAATTTAATTAAAATATTATATATATATTATACAATAATAGTGTATGGAAATATAGGTTTTACGTCAACCTAATAATTAATTAAAATCATTTTAAAAGAGTTGAAGATATCAAGATAAAAATGTATAGGTATTTTAAAATCATAAATAAATAACGTCAAGCATTACATTTAATCAATTTTTTTTTATTTTAAACTTTATTGTGAAAATTTATTTTAACTGTAGTTTTATTTGTATCATTTACATTATGATATAAGCTATAAAATTAAAGAATTATTTTTATAATATAGTATATTTGAACATAAATTACTAAAAATGGACTTAAAAAATATTGGAGGGTTGATGGAAAATAATTTATTTTTCAGTAAAACCTAGAAAAAATTGGTTTGATTTATAACACAAAGTCATGAAATCGTAGGGTTTTAAGCTGATAAAAAACATGTAAACTATTGTATAAACGTCTCTACAGGATAATCTTTAAAACGTAAATTCCCATAATCATAAGTATGTAATAACTAATAATAACATATGAATATATGATATTTACTAATATTATGTAGCCATGTAGGTACTCAACATTATTAGATTCTGAGTGTAGCAATGATTGCATATTTTTATTTTTTTTTTGTAGCAAAATGTATCGGCTAATCACATAATTTATAATAATATAATAAGCAATATCATCAAAAATAATTATCATTATAGTTTTTGATGTCACATAAAGGTAAAAATTAAAATAATTAACTATAATATAGTTACTACTTATTGTGTTATCTCTGTTAAAGTTAGTTCTAATATTAGTACTTATACGGTGTAACAGTTTTGACGATTAGTATTGATTATGATTAACTATTAAATTAGGTTTTTAGAAAAACTGATGCTAATATCGGAGACACAATATTTGTACTTGGACGTCATATGACTAAGGATTATAATTAAGTAGATACTTAACAGCAGAAACATAATACATATCTTGTACATATTTAAAAAAAAAAACATTGAACGTTTTTGAATTGAAGAAAAGTAAAAATAACTGAAAATATTTTAATAATGTTTATTTTTTGAGATTATCCATTTATTAATTATTTTTATTTTTATTCTAAAGATATATATTATATTTATTGAATAATTAACGTCGAACTTTGTTTATAACTTACACTTAATCATACATTCATAACTCGAGAGCATAATATTATTTATCGTTTTGGTATTTTTAGAGGCGTACCTATCACAACTTCAGACGTCGACATAATATACACGTACAGATATATTACGATATTCAGTTGGTTTTCGGGTCACACGATTATCTGCCCTGGCCAATATATCAAACTATATTATACACGGGTGGGTGTAATAAGTACTTACCGATGATGTGCTGACCGAATGCGAAGTCCGCTGCAGAGTCGTAGGAGGTATATAAGTGAACAGTGGCTGTTGCTCCAACGACCGTGATACTTGTGAAATGCCGATCAACTTGTGGCGCTCGTTTATACTCCGCGCGGTGAAACTCGCAGGGCCTTCGCGGGGGCGGCCGGGCGGACCGTCCACTGTGGTCGGGTGGCGACGGCAGCGTGGGATGGTATCCCGTCTACGCCACAACGACAACGCCGCCCGACCAATAGGAAACCGTCGGACGTTTCACCCGCGCACCAGCTCACAACACGTTAAACTCCCTACACCCATGTACGCAAGACTACGTCATCGGTTCGCGCGTTATACAATAATTGTATTATTATGACGATAATATGTTACACGGGATTATGATCATAGCGAACACGCGGATTTAACATAGTTGAACGCCTCGAGCCAGTAAAAAAAAAAATAAAATGCATTTATAAATCCAGAAATGTTCTGTTTTCTGATCTTCTCTATTGCCTGAAAACAGTTTTAAACATTCAAAACAATATATTACGATTTAATTATTATTATTTTACTTGCCTTGTATTGAATTATACCGTGGTTGTAATCGCTGTAGGCTAAAGCGAGTGTGTCGTGTGGATGCACGCTTCGATGCAAATCATATTATTATGCGAGACTCTTGACATAATATGGTAAACGACGCTTTAATAGTTARGGATGCCGAGATAGAAGTTCTGTTTGTAAATTCATTGAGACGTGCATCAATTTTTTCGTTTGAAAAATATGTATGTTCCGACGATGAACGTATTTTAAAGTTTTCCCATAGATTTTATGATTGGATTTAAATTATTATTGCTAAGTGATGAGAACGGATTTTTTTTTTCGTTCAACCGTTGCCATCTCAGCTGCAGGGATATGCGCAGAGGTCACCAGGTACTATATATATTACGTTTGCAAAGACTTATTTAAAAAAAAAAAAACGTTAATATTTTTGAGAATAAGGCAATGATATTAAAAAAAAAAAATGCACACGTTGCATCTCAAAAACACCACTTTGTCCTCGTCCTTCATCTCGTCGTACATCGTACACATAAATCATCTTCGTGGCGTGTGCCTCCGGGACTAGCTGTTATATTGTAGGCTGGGTTTTTGTTAATAGAATAATAAAAAAAAAAACACTATAATAGTTGTTTTCTTTCCATTAACTCGTGTTTACACGTATTAGACATTTAATACGTCTACTCGGTAGGCAAGGAAGTCTACTGCGGTGTATACGTACTTACACATGATATAATGTCATCGTATACTTACCTGACGTGGAGTGGCTTAATCCTATCGCGGATCATAATATGTACATATAAGATTATCGAAAACGCTATTCCACCGYTATATAAATGCTGAAGCGGTGGCGTCGAGAATTTCCAAAAACACACACTTACCTACGCATACAGTTAACCGTTAATACGGTGTAACGGTGTTACACATGACATATAATAATAAAATAATATAAATAATAATGGTGATATATAATTTATAGTGAGTGTGCTGTGTGATGTACAAGTTCAGTATACATGGGAAATACCTACGAGACGCATCAAATTCGTTTGTGCCAGTTAACTGTTTGGTATTTTCCAAAACTTATCATTGTTCACTTGCAGAGAATTGCATTTATTTTGTTAAGCTCGTTATAAGAAATAGCTTTCTTAGCACAAAGTTTGGGTTGCATGTAAAGATTAATGTGATAATATAATATTACACACGTTTATATCAAAATATGTTTTTTTTATTTTTCTTAATACTTGATAGTTTTGATATTTTTGTAATTTAAAAAAAAATTTAAAAGCATGTTATCGTGTATTGATTGGAATTTTAAATTGCATTTTTGGGGGATTTCGAATGCACTTATTAAGGCTTGGAATTATTTCCAGTATACTAAATTCACAGATCTATACTTATCATTCTGAATCGGACGATATTTAAAAACATAGGACTACGCTTATAACRATACAATACTATTATTTTATACTCCCTCCATTTATCTTTTAACAATTCAAGTAAAAAAATTAATATASCAACGCTGGTATGTTTATTTATTTACTCATATGAAAATACACGAAAATTTAAAAACAAAAACTCAACATAACACTGTTACTTGTTTATTAAACATTTTTTATTAAATAATAATCGATAGTACTTAATTAAATTTTATATGYATTAAATTTAAAATGAAATTATTGTTTTTGCTTTTATAAATCTGTCTTTTAGTGTAGAAAAACAAATATAAGACGAACAACATAACACATCGTAGTATGAAGATTTATTTCAGAAAAATGAATATGGAGGTAAAATATATGTTTAGGCTTCATTTATCTTAAAATTATTTACTATGGTTTTCTTAAATACTATATGAACTTACAACTAATCATAATGATTTTAAAACTCATGGCCCAGTCGCACTCTGAGCACATAATATAAAATAATAAAATATTCAAATACTTTTGGCGTGKGGAAAAATATAAAAACTACACAATCATTAAAGGAATATGGAGGTAATGTTTCTCTTGGAACAAAAAGAGTGGATTGTGAACGTTCTTATATTTCAAAACTACCTTTAAATTATTACTATTGAGATCAAAATATTTACAATATTCAAAACGTTATCGAACAAATATTTTTTTTTTTATTATGACGTTCAATATTAAACATAAAATGAATAAATKTCGATAGACACTAAGAAGTAGRTAGGTTATAGAGTGATTGTCAACTACTCCGCGGTTTGCTTAGTAGATACAAAAGTAATTTATGTTAATAATAATCAAAATTTGTAAGTATATAATTTAAGTTTGTTTGTGTGGTGGTTAAGTTACAAATGTATATTATGACAAGAGAGAGCCTTCTTTCAATAAAAAGAATATATGATATATCAATTGTGAATCGCGAGTTAAAATTTAGTGTTTTAATGAAAGCTGAGTGTCTTCAATTGTTGCTACAGAGTTTTGCGATGGATCCAGTTTCTCGTAAAATGAAACGTGATTAATATGTCAGACTTTTGTCCTGAAATAAAAAACACTATCTGTATACTATGATTCAAACAACAATAATACTATAAAGTGAGTATAAACTATACTCCAAACGCGTCAAATTTACACAAGTTCTCTAATAATATTATCACAATGCCAGAACATCTCTAAACATTCCGGATCATCTATATGAAGCACTTGGATCCAGTCTTGAAAACTACAGCAACATTATAACCTTTCTACAAAGAACTAAACTTTACAACCTTATATGTATCAATGTATCTTTATTAATGTTAATGTTAGCCAATAGCTTTAGTTGTTGAGGCTTAAAAAAAAAAAAAATTAAAAAAATACTATCACAGTGAAAGGGATACATTGTTTTACTCGCTGCAGCGATGTATTGAAGTGTTTAATAATTCTTATTTACAGTGTGAAGTATAGACAGCAAATTTAATTGATTAATGAGGCGTATAAAACGTGTGCATTTATGACGAATTTTATCACATCTTTTATAAAAATAATATAATATAAAACTTTTATCTTATATAATATATTGTGCAAGTATTTATTGTATTGTTTTCTCGTCAGATAAACACGACTAATAGTTAATATCGTTAATCTGCAGACTGCCAGACTCATTACGTAGAATGAATGATATAAAAACAGAAAATTGATTGTGAAAACCTTAAACAAATCACTCAGATAAAATAAAATAATATTATTATATAATATGTATATACAAGGCGATTTTATTAAAAGTTAACACTCTTTTTATCGAGAGTGTTTAATTTATTGGAAATACTTTTTTTTTCATTATTATTTAAAAGTTTTTATATTTTT